CCTGTGCCTCAACAGGCTGTGAGTGTGTGAGTGAGTGACCATAAGCTGAACCTGGGAGCAGCGTATGTAACACTTCCCACAAGCAAAGTTAATGGGGAAGCCAGCAGGAAGGTTGCAAGTCACTCTGGTAAGTTCCCCTGGCCTTCCTGTGCTCGTGCCCCACCACACCATCCACCCCCTGGACTTCCTGTGCTTGCACTGTACCATCCACATCCTGGCCTTCCTGTGCTCACACACAGCCTGTGCCAGGCCTCCCAAGTCCCCCACCAGCCTCCCCTAACTCACCCGTGCCCTGCACCAGCCCTCCCAGGACCTCCCTTGGCCTCCCCCACCTCCCCATGACACCCCCCCATGGCATCCCCATGATCCTTACCTGGGATTCCTGCCGCTTCCCATTTAATGACCCACATGTCTTGGGATTATGATGGCAACCAGGACTGCCAGGATTGTTGTCGCTAAGCAACGTGGTCACATGACATAGCACTTTATGACCGCATCACATAGCAACAGCAATCCCAGTCCCAGTTGCCATCATAACCCAAGGACTACCTGTATTCCCATCAAAAATGGGAGGAGTGAAGAGAGTGTGTTCTGCCGAAAGTCTCTATATATCTGAGCTTAACTGATCTTAATCCTAACAAACTGTAATTTGGAAAAATGTGATATGTTAGAATACATATGAATATGAATTGTGATTACCTTTCTATATACAATCCATATGCAGTAGGATTCTGTAAAATACAAATAAGAGTTTAGGATAAATATAATTTCATACAAAAATAAATATTGATACATTTTAAGGTTTTCTTTGTAGTTTGTAATATAGCTATAACAATAGGAAGTAAATTTGTTCGTGACTTGGACTGTAAGAATTTTTTTTGAAAAGAATTACATTAAAGCAGAAAGGAATTTCTTGCTATTAAAACAGTGTATCACAAAGTCATAAAAAGTTACATATTTGCCAATCCCAGGCGACTAATAAAAAAGTTAAATATATTGATAGACTAATTTTGAACTGAATTCCTAATCTACAACAAATATGAAATGCACCATCCAAGATTGGTGGCAATCTTGTTTGTCATGATATGGGAACCCTGTTACCTTGAATAAAAAGTTACAGTATGCGTGACAGGAGCTAAAATAGGACCATCTACATTCTTGTTAACCAAGGTTTGTAAATGACAGTGTTATGCAAACAAAAACAAATTATGTATTCATTAATTGACTTTCAGATGTAGTCTTAAGAATCTGGGCAGGTTACTGTTCCATATTAGCTTTAATGTAATTCTTTTCAAAAATTAATTGTATAAATCCAGGTTTATTTAACTGCTTAGTGTATTATACAAAATGTCAGTTTATAAGATGTTTTACCTTTTCTGGTTTGCTTTTTCTGATAATAGTTTTTGAATGTCTTTCAGAAATTCTCAGGCACTTTAAAAATCAAGAAAATTTGTAAAAGGTAGGCAAGTGTATTTGTTTATTTTCATTCTTTAAGAAGTAATATATTTACCACGCTTTTATGTGTAATTTAGCCATTATCCTGTCTCTCCAGTCATACTTAACTGTTTCATTGAATGTTACCCTGAAATGCTCAAAACCAGTATAGATCTTTGTATGGAAGAAGATTATGGAAACAATTACTTTTTCTTTTATACAGGCCATGTATCCTCATCTTAGATTCTCTGAAGGCAAGTTCAGTACAGAATACTGTTCAGGTCCTGAGAGAGTAAGTATCCCTGCATTTCAATTCTGTTTTTACATATATTAATTTTTAGATCAGAAGATACAGATATCAGACTTAAATATCAGACTTTTTTGTTATTATACAATTTAACATTTCAGGTAAATTTATTTCAGCGAAGTGATAGATATCACAGCCAGATCATCCTCAAATCGTATATATTTTGCTAAATCTGTAAACATCTATATTTAATAATATAAATGAACACGTAACATATTATAAAATGAAAATAAAAGGGCTAGATACAAGGCATAGTTACACAATATTCTTGTCTATTTCTGTATACATATATGGATAGATACCTATCATGCTATTTCTTTTTGGGGTAAGCAACATTATGCAAAGCACAGTAAAGGAGTAAGAAATAGTCTAAGAATTCAAGACACAAGACAGTTTTTTGAAAAAAGAAATATATGTAACTATTTTGCACCAACACCATGTACTATCTTTTCAAACCATCTTTGCTCACACCATGCCCATTCATGGCTTCCACTATTCATACATGGCTTTCTGTTCTTTCTCACCACTCTCTTTTTGAGGATCTTACCAACTCCATTTAAATGTGACTTTCTTCATCTTCATCTTCTCCTTCCTCTCAACTCATTCACTGCCTTCATACAATTCATCCTCATTCACTGATTCTCTGAGACTAAACTAACTTAACATACTTCATTCATACAAGTTGCTCCCTTTTGTATTCAATACAGATTCATTGAGCACTCTTTTATTCTTGACCATCTCTCTTCTTATTTAACAACATATGATTCTCAATTCCTACTGCATTTAGTTTACCTAATTTAATTTATCCAACTTTGATTTCCATGTAATTAGAGTATCAAGACTTTCCACTCCACATTCCCAACAAGATTCAAGAAATTTATGTAAATGATTTATTACAAAGAATTAGGAAGCTATGAATATAAAGATGTTCTCCATTTAAGAATCCTACCGATGCTAATTCTCATTTAAATGCTAATTTAAATTCTGAGGGCCTTCCTGTCTTTTCAAGTCAGCAACCATGTAGCTGCTAGTTTCCCAAACTTAAAGGTTTCTGCCATATGTTCCATGTTTATAAATTGGCTTTCTCTTGTGTGAGATCAAAGATTCCTAGCCAACTATCTTCACCCTTTACAAAGTGGACTGAAGAAGCTTTGTACATAGCCATTTTTGCTTCTTTCAGTGCACATTCATTCCGTACAACAGACAACCTACTCCTTATTTCTTCATCTTTAGTAAACATTTTACCAAAATACACAAATTCAACAACTTGCTTTAGGTTTTTTTTTTTTACTATTTATATATATTTTGCAAACATTCACTTCCTCTTTCAAATGCCACCATGTTAGACTTCGATACATTACTTAGATCCATACTTTTGTGGCATCATACAGTCTTTCCAACATTCCTTGAATATAATTCAGATTGTCAGCTAACAAGATTATATTGTCTACATACGAAACTACAAGGATCTTCATGTCTGGAGCCAACACATCTCTAATGTTACTGTAAACATTTCTTATACATTTAGCCATGAATACACTAAACAGCTCAAGTGCTATCACACCTCCTTAACTTTCTCCCTGCTCAGTGTTGAACCATTCACTAAATATTCCATTTATTCTCACACATGCTATACTTCCATCAGGTATCTCTCTTATTGCATTCAGCAATCAACTTTAAATTCATATTCTCACAAATAATTCCATAATAAGAGCCTAGTTGCTTTTCATGTTTGTAGCTAAGCAAAAGATCTGAAGAGTAAAATCTGATTTGCACACACTCCTGCCCAGCATAAAGTCACACTGTCATCTTTCAATCAGAATTCTGCAGAACATCTTCCCATGTACAACTAATCCCCTATAACTTTTGCATGGGATTTCCTATAGGAGCCATAACAGCATTATTCCAGTTGTCAGATGAATACACAGATACTGAACAAGGTGTACTGCTGTTCACATTCATATTTAACATTTTATTTGTTCAGTTTGATGCAAATAAATTGAATATTTTCCATTTTTCCATTTATACCATCTATACCTGCAGACCAATAATTTTTCAGTATTTTCACAACATTTATGAGACTTCTGGGTTCAGTCTCTGGCATCTCCATCAGCATCCTGAGTATGTGTCAGTACACTATATGAAACTACCAGTTTTAAGGTGTGAGCAACATTAATTTGGTTGACAAGGTATTTTGTATATTAGTGATCTTAGTTTATATAGAGTAGTGTGAACTTGCTTGGGGTAAAACTTGGCTTTGATGGTACTTACGGCATACTGGCCATAATTTACCAAAACACAGTATTGTGTTGTAATTATTAACTGGTGACCTAGATAACCAAATGATAGCTTCAATTTTTAACAATTGATATATGTTCCCATTGTGCCCATTTTAGCTATGCCATGTTCAATATAAGAAATTGGGATTCAGTTGAACCCCAGTTACTTCTCACCTTCCTAGAAACATATTCTATCCTCTTTACACATATCAGTTTTCTCTGACCAAGGCCTGACTGTATGCATCTATGTTGATAGCTTTGGGCAGATCAAATCAAAAGCAGCTGAAGTATTTGAGGAGAGAAATCTAGAAAACGTCTGTTCCTCTTCACATAATACTATACCAAGTGTATAATAATCACTTTAACAATTATTATTAGATTTCACATATCCACAGAAGGTAGATTTGGATTCAAACCAGATAAATCACATATATGTTACTGAGACTTAAGTAAACTGAAATTAATTTTTCAAGTTACTCCATTGGAAAGCAAGTAACCTAATTTGAACTTATCTTGATATATTTTTCTTTTTAAATTTCAGATATCTAGAAGCAGAATGGGAAGCTAAATGCAAAACTTGTCGCAAGTTCAGCAAATCGACTATGGCTGATTTTTGTCCAAGAGTCCCCAAACAGAATAACAGCAGTGATTGCGGAATATACTTATTGCAATATGTGGAAACTTTCTTCCAGGTACAAATAATTTCAGTGCATTTTTTAGTTGCCCTTTTATTTTTTCTGGATGAACCCTCAAATTGTTTCCAGTGCAGGACTGATGACTGGAAATACTGCATATCAGCCTTCCTCAATCAGGCCCCAATCTATATGTGTGAATTTCGCTTCCCAGAATTCCCAATAACAACTAGGCTGGCTGGGAAATTCTGGTAAATGATGCCCACACATATTGTGAGTGCCAAATTGGGGAAGGCCGTTAAATATTACAAGTTCTATTGACTGCTTGTTGGAGGAAAGCATAGGTAGGAGATTTCATTAGGAACTGCAGTTGTATTTCTGAATATTTATTCTGTGTTTACTAACTGACATAGACGAACTTGCTTGACGGTTGTGATTATGCTACTTGTAGTCAAATCTAGTGTTAGATCAGATTTGTGAAAATGTAAGTTTAGTCTATTTAGGAATTTTTTAGAACTTTGGTTTCTGATTGTTTGTAAAGTACTTACCTGAATTAATTTAAATGCTTTTTCAGATCTGCAATTCCATGAAAAAGCTTTGAGCAAGCAAACAGTCTGGGGTTTATCAGTATGGATACAACAGCTGGGTCTGTTCTATCCTGTTCCATTGATGATCCAGTTAACTCTGTGTGTGTGTGTGTGTGTGTGTGTGTGTGTGTGCGCGCGCATGCGCGTGCCTTTGAGTCAGTGTTGACTCCTGGCGACTACCTGAACAAGTCCCTGCAGTTTACTTGGCAAGATTTTTCTGAAGTGGTTTGCCATTGCCTCCTTCCTAAGGCTGAAGGAGAGGGACTGGCCCAGGGTCACCTGGCTTTGTGCCTAAGGTGGCACTAGAAACCAGGAGACTATAATAGAACTCATCCTTGTACTTCTTGTGCTTATGTTTTTGGATACAACTCGTTAGGATATTATGTGAGTTATATTTTTAACTAACACTGTGAAAATGAACATTTCTAGCAAAATAAGCAATACTTTTTAAAAAAATTACTCACACAGAATCTTTTTTCTTCAATTCATCAGAATCCTATTGTTAATTTTGAGCTTCCAATACACTTGGAACAGTGGTTCCCTCCTCATCTGGTGAGAAGCAAGCGAGAACAGATTAAAGACTTGATCTTGCAACTTCACTTTCAGCAGCAGAGTGGCAGCAAAAGCTAGCAGATTTTTCTTCTGGGTCTTGGAAATGAAAATGTAGATCCAGAAGTATTGGAAATCCAATCTGTACTGTTTGTTCTTTTAATGTGGTAAAGAGATGTGTTTATGTATTTATTTTAAGGGTTACATTTGAACTGTATTTGCAGAAAATGGAAGTATATAAACTGTAATTATGTAATTTAAAGTAAATGTTGTTACATTGCCTATTTTTATTTTAGTAGGAAAAACAGAAGCAAAATTACAAACAGCAGAGATGGGAAAATATTTTAATCTTAAGAAATGTAAATCATTGAAAGTAAGACTTCACAAAATGGATACATTTTAAAAGTTATATTTAGTATCTTTGAAGATACCACTTCAATATTTAAAAAGAACAATGAAAAAATATATTTATAGCTGCTTTTGGATACAGTAGATATGCTATTGATCCATGGGATTTTGGATATATTTTGGTTTTTCTTAAAAATTGATATGGATAACTGCTTTTTACATTGTATTTTAAAATGATAGAACACAATGTGAAGTCATGCTTCAAAGTTATTATAAAATTGAAGTTTCATTTGTTTTCCTTGTTAACTTGGTTATGTAGCCCGATTCAAAACCTAATCTGTTTCTGCTGCCCAGCACTTGTATATGAATACTATGTATTTGATAAGACACTTAACACAAGATCATATGGTCTTCACTGTACTGGGTACAGCTGTAGCTTATATCTGGCAAGGTATCACCCTGGTGGAAATTATATTAATATTTCAGTAATTGCATTTATTTTGGAGTTGGAGTTAGTGGGAATGTCTAAATGTGTTTAATAGGCATCTTGACTAAAATCCTGTACTAATAGCTAGGAGTAAGCCCCATTAAAGTCCATCAGTAAGTAAAAAATAATTTTTAAAAAGTGACATAAAACACGCTTTTCTTTGCTCAGTTATCATGTTTTTGAAAATATGTATTGAAAAACTGAATACCTATGATTCTCCCAAGTCTTTACATTTGAGACTGAAGCTGTTCATGGAAGAAATTCTACTGGTGTTAACTGTGGTGTCAAGTAATTGCATACTTAAATCTGTATCAGGCTTATATTTGATAAGCTAGAACATTGACCAAATACATAAACATTTTTTTTTTTACAGAAAGATTTGAAATTACTCATAGGCGTGTTTCTGGTGTCAATAACAGAAGGAATAAGGGAGCTGTTAAACAAGGACTTTTACTATTGAATAAATTACTATTTTTTTATGGTGTTTGATAAGTTCTTTTTCTTTAAGAAAAGTCTCAAGATTATGCTATTGAAACTGTCAAGTTTTGACTTGACAGTTGCTTGCAATAGATCAGTGGTGTTTCTTTGGCAGAATGCTGGAATCTTTGTAATTAAGAATGCTACTTATTTGGCTAGTTGTAGCTAATATATTTTAATTGCATATCTTTTGTCATAATCACATCAAAATATATATCTGACGTTTAACTGGATATATACTTTCCTTCTGCATATCAGTTATCTCTGGGTAGGAAAAATGATATACATACAATTGCACCAATTAGAAAAGATGTCCCAGTATCACAGGAAGAAGAAAAGGTTGTTTGGTACCCATTCCTTTTTTGCACACCAAAATGTTTTTGCCTGCCAGTGAGTTCTGCAACCGTAGCAAGGATATCTATGAATGCATTCTACATGATATACCTGTACAAACATTCATGTAGTCAAATTATTGATTAATAAAAGTTTGCAGAATTTCCCTGAGGGAATTTATCTGCTGACAGGCAAAATGTTTTGGTCATGAAATTTTATCACTTAGTGACAGGCAAAAAAAAAACAAGAGCTGGTTGCCTAAAGGTTATTTTCCCTAAATGGTTCTGTATTTATGAAAATATGTTGCATTTAAGGGGGAAAAAAAATCTAAACCCAAATAACACCTGGTGTCCCACACATTGCTTCACCCGTAGTTATATCCTTTGGATTTCTGCCTCCTAAATCCATGAAAACAGATGCAACTTTTCACAGCCCACATGTTTCTGTAGGATTCTCCAGCCATCAGAAGAGCATTGTAGGATGGGAAAGATTTTCTGAAGGTGAGGATCAGGTTCTATAGCTATACATACTTTTATCTCAATCCAACAAAATGAAAGAGAATTTGTTTAATTATCATGGCCATAATCCAGGCCATTGTAAGGGAAGGAGCTATTATTTTTTCCTTTCTCACAGTTAACATAGGAAGGAGTTAGAAGGAATAAAAGGCTGTCAGTTCTCTATCTAAGGTCAGCCGAAGTTTTTTGTGCAATGTGCAAAAAATCTGTGACTTCAGTTAGAAGAACACAATTCAAAATTATTTAACTAAGAAAGCAACTGCAAGGAAGTAACAAAGATTTATGCAGTTAAAGGAACATAAGACAGTTCTTCAGACTGGGTCAGGCACAGAATATCTCTCTGTCCAACTTGGTGATTTCTGGCTTGTGGTCACCAGGGTATGGGCTACTTGGTGGTCCCTGGCAACCCCGACCTGCCATTCATAATTCAAGCTGATGCCTCCGATGTAGCAATTGGGGTGGTTTTATTACAGCAGTCGGAGGGTGGCTGCTTAAAACCTTGTGCATACATTTCCTAAAAATTTACTGAAACGGAAAGACGCTAGCTGGTCTGGGAGAAAGAAGCTTTTGCAGTCAACTGGGCTCTGCTGACTTGGCGGCACCTCTTGGAAGGTGTGCGCCACCCTTTTGAGGTTTGCACTGATCATAAGAACTTAGAGGCTCTAACGGCACCACGGAAATTATCCCCCAAGCAAGTTCGATGGGCTCAGTTTTTTAGCAGGTTTAACTTTGTGTTAAAATACATTCCCAGGGGAAAAAACTTCCTAGCAGACGCTTTGTCTAGACTGCCGCAGCACAACAGCGAACGGGAGCAAGTTGTTGCCCCAGTAATTTCTAGTAACCAGGAAGGGCTGCTAGCCGTCACCAGACCCCAGAGCAAAAAGCAGAAAATAGTGCCATAAAAGTTAAATAAAGCCCTTGAGAATGATGACTGGTTCCTGAAAAATAGGAACTCATTGACTGAGGAGGGAAACATTTGGTGGTATGGAGACAAATTATATATGCCTGAGAAATTGCGAAAAGAAATTTTGGAGAGGGGGAATGATAGTAAAACTTCTGGACAATTTGGATTTGTAAGACCTTACACCTTCTCCAGAGGCAGTTATGGTGGCCTTCCATGAGAAAGGATGTTACAGAATATGTGAACTCTTGTCCTACATGTGCCATGGCAAAAATACAGGGGGGGCAAGCCCATGAGACTTTTGCAAACAGTGGCAACCCCTAACATGGCCATGGAAGCCCCCCTAGCCATGGAAGCAGATAGCAATGGACTTTATTGTGGATTTGCCTGGAAGCAATAATCGAACAGTAATTTGGGTGGTAACAGACTTATTTTCCAAGCAGGCACATTTCATCCCGTGCACTTCCATTCCCACGGTGAAATGGTTAGCCAAGATGTTTATACAACAAAAATATCGTCTCCACGGTACCCCCGAACAAATAATCAGGGATTGCGGGGGCCAGTTCACCTCAAAATTTTGGTGGGAATTTATAGAATTGATTGGATCTACCCAGGCACTGAGCTCTTCACATCATCCAGAGACGGACGGATCTTCGGAACATTTGAACCCTGTATTGGAGCAGTATTTAAGGTGCTTTATTAATTACCAGCAGGATAACTGGGCTGAGCTTTTACCTTTCACTTACGTGGCTTATAACAACACACTGCACCAGAGTACTGGTTTTATCCCTTTTAAAATAGCGACAGGGCAGGATTTTGTACAAATACTGGAATTGCCCTTAAAGGACTACTGAGCTTTGGCCAATAATAGAAACTGCACTACAAGAGGCGAGAGAGGAATATAAAAAATATGCAGATCGTAAATGCTCACAAGAAAAGCCTTGGAAAGTGGGTGATCAAGTTTGGTTGTCAACTAAACATCTGAAAACTACCCGACCATCAAAAAAGCTGGGTCATAAATACATTGGGCCATTCCCTGTTGAAAAAGTTATTGGACCAGTTTCATTCAGACTGCCTTTCCCAAACATCCGGTTTTCCGGTACATCCGGTTTTCCATTGCAACCTGCTGAAACCCTATAAAGAATCCCCAAAGTGGCACCCCTCGCCCTCCCCACCTGCACCAATAATGATAGAGGGAGAGCAACACTTTGAGGTTAATAATGATAGAGGGAGAGCAACACTTTGAGGTTAAGGAAATTTTGGACTCTAGAATGCGCAAAGGAAAATTACAATTTCTAGTGCAATGGAAACATTTCCCTAAATCATATTATGAATGGGTGGATGAAAAACATGTGAAAGTATCTAAGCTTGTTAGGGAGTTTTATAAAAGGTATCCTGAGAAAGCAAACCAACTGTAACTATATTTCCATTCCTTGCAACAATGTGTGACTTTTTATCTTTGCCTATGTTTCTTTCTTTTACAGATTCTTCTGGGTAAACGTTTCCTTTTTCATGGAGAAGCGGAATGTCAAAACCTTGCAATCAGTTAACCAGCATTTTAGCTAGCTTGCTCAGTTCTGCCATAGTAGTAGTGGGAGGGGGGGAGTTAGGTGAATAGCCGTTAGAGCAGATGGCTTGTTATCTAGTTCTCAAGAATGCCAAGGTCGTACCAGCATCAAAGCAGGAGAAGGCACCAGAAGGATCGAGGGGGTTAAGGGGGGCAAGGAAGAGGGGGTTAAGAAAACATTGCTGTGCGTGGGCTTTTCAGTTTCAGCAAACTTTCTTATGGGCTGTATGTTAATCCTCAATAAACTGATTTTCTTTTGGAACTGCTAAGACTCCAGAGAAGGTATCTTTTTATTGGGTTGAGAACTATAGCAGCTTACAGAAATGCTTTCAAGTTTTTTCCCTCCCCACTATATTTATATGACCCCTCCTGCTTACACTGATGGAGAAGCGCATATAAAAGCAGGAATTTATAATACTGGTGTGTGTGTGTATGGATTGATGGATGGATGTGTATGTACTGTATGTATGCATGTATACATATGTATGTGTATCTATATAGGTAGATATAGGAAATATATGTGTACCTAGGTATGCAGATATAGGTAAGTATGTCCATATGTGTATGTGAGTGTGCTTGTCTGTGTGTATGTGTATGAAAGATATGAGAGGTATGGGAGTTGCCCCTACAATTTGAAGCTGTTGAAAGACATTTACATTTCTCGTGAAAAGGCTTTTTCCTCTGAGCTAGAGAGCAGGAAGCTGAACAGCTATAGCCAGAAGGACTGGAACAGATACAAGTAGGGTATCATCAAGACCTGGAAAAGACCCAAGTATGTGGTAACAGAAAAGACCAGAGATAGTCCAGCAGCAGCAGTCCTTTGAAGATGTTCATCAGTGGACTTGGCTTGGAAGGCCAGAAGTAGTTCAGCAGGCAAAACCTAGAAAAAGGTCCTGCAGCTGTAAGTGTGACAGTATTTGAGGCAACTGAAAAAGCCATGTGGAAGGCCGTGCAAAGAGCATCTGGCCTACCAAAAAGCCCTGGGGGAAAAGTCTATAGAAGAGCCATGGCAGGAGAGGTCGAGATGGCTTCTTGGCAGATGGTGGTGTGAGGCAGCTGGTCTTGTTGGAGGGTGGTATGATGCAGCAAATCCCAGGGTAAAGCTTCCAGTAGAACTTTAGGCCCAATTAGCCTGTAACTACTACTTGTCAGTACTATTATTGTGCCAGTTTTATTTATGGATTTGATTTGCAGAGCTGCCCATCTCACATTCATGATTCTGGGCAGCTCACATAATTAAAACAACCACACTAAAAAGCCAATAAACAAAATACAGACATCAATAAAACAATAACCCCATTAAAATCAAAACCAGATTAAAACATAATAAGCAGGCAAGTGTAAGTCACATGTTGATTATATGATTTACAATACTTTATTCCTTAATCCAGTTATGCAAAACACCTGTTTGGGTAAGTAAAGAAGAAAAGCTTGGAACCAACTCCTAAGTACTACTTGAACACATCCTTGTATTTTTCTTTGCAAGAATACAGAAGTGATTTAACTCTTTTTCAAAATATTTTTTCAGTTCTCTGTTCTAGTCAACAAGGGGATTGTTGGGATTATCTCATCGACTCACAACCAGATACTAACTAGGTCTGGCTCTTCTTAACTTTTTGAGATCAACTTTTGAGGTCAAGAATGACATTAATGTGAACTGGTCTTTCAGGTATGTTGCTTTCAAAATTGTTATTATTTTCATGTATATGTCATTGTGTGCATATAAACAGTTTCTTTTTATTGTTTATGTTCTTTGTAAATGGGCTAGCAGTACCATTATGCTAGCCTGTTTACAAAGAATAAAATAAAAATGGAGACTACTGTTTCTGCAACTTTATTCAACAACATTCTTCTTGGTCTATTTCCTAAATATCTCCCTGCTTTAACCTTGCTAGGAGAATCATAATGATGCATCAGATCAAGCATGTGTTGTTGTTGCTGTTATCATGTAAAATTGCAGCAAAACTACCCAAGGATGAAAATCTCTTAGACATTTATCTATAAAGTTAACATAAGTTATTGCTTGGATACTACTTTTTTCCCGAATAAGTTGATGAAAATTGCTTTATTAAGTGGGAATAGTACTGCCCTTGTATGGACTGCAGTTAAGGACACCATAAGCTCCAGTAAAGCTGGCTGAGCTGACCAGCTTAATTTAAAAAAAAAAAAAAAATCTGTGCCTGCACTGCATTGACTAATATGAAGAAGCTTCTCCTTTAGTACTTCTGTAACACCCAAAATGAGAAATGAAATAATTTATTTTAAAGAAAATAATCTTAGATATTTTGCCGGGCTTTTGTTGCAGACACTATACTGATTTCTTTCTTTTTTTTAATGATCAGAAGGAATTATATGCGACACCAGCACTTTTCCTGGAAGAGAATCTTATTGGATGTTTAGCACGTTCAGGATTTGTTGGTCTGGTGGAAAAGGGACATAATTCTTTCCCCTTTGACTTCAGATATAAAACAGAATAAAAGATAAATAAATATGTGTGACTTTCCTTGGAAAATATATTTAGGAATATGCATATTTGTGTTGGCTGAAAGGGATTTTCCAACATTTGCAGGTAAGAAAATATACCTAATAATTACGTGGGGTGTGTGTGTGTGTGTATTTTAATATTCATTTATAGGCCATTTCACTAGGTTGAACACTGGTTCCATGCTTTTATATTTAATGAAAATTGATTTAATTAGAATGAGAGGGAATAGCTTATATTTATATGGAGTTAGAGTCACTGTTCTGGATTTCAATATGATTATCTGCAATTTTTAAAAGTGATAGGAGAAATAGTTGTAGCTACTAATTTAGTTGTAGCTACTATGTACCTATCTTTAACACAGGAATAAACATTACATAAGGCTTGCTTTTACTGAAATATGTATACCATAAGAATAAATACTGAGTGTATGTCTGTTTTGCATTGACAGAGAAGACTCAGTAGTAGCTTTTCTCAGAAAAGAACTACCCTCTTAATATTTGTACTTGTCCTCGAGCTTAACTACCCTGTGGCAAGTTTTTAACCAAGTGTATCATTCTGTAACTCTTCTTATAATGATTATAACCATTCTTCATTTCAGATAACATTTTTAAACATTGCTTATACTTTATCATTCATATACTTAGTGAACTGTTCAGCTGTTTATCATTTTTCTCCTTGTTAATTTTTACACTATAAAAATGGAAAAATATGCGAACTAAATCTGATTAATTTCCACATTAAAAAAATATAAAATAGGAGCTAGCCTCATTTCCATCTTTTAAACATAGCAGTTGTCAAGGGATTCAGATTAGCCTATTCATATCAGATACATGAAAAGTGCTTGAATGTTTTATGCTGTTTGTCAGAGTTAGGATGTTACAAATAGAAAATGTTTAAGAAGTGAGTCACTGCAAGCCGTTTGATCTGGTATGAAAATTCTGTAAGAGATCTACAGAATATGTATGAGAGATACAAATGTGAGAAAAGATTGGACAGACTATATAGAAATCAGTCTTATCACCTAGGCAGAAATATGTTTTAACAATGGTGTAGAAGTTATCTTGAGATCTATGGAAGCAGAAATCCTAGCTCTTCTTATTCTTCAGTAGTAAATTTTCTTATTTTGGGCAGAATCTATATAATAAACATTCTATTTTCCTTTGAAATGTTGACAATGATCTACCTTAATCAGCAAAAAACCCCACAATTACCCAGTTGTTTTTTAATAACAAAAGGTTTATATTTAAGAATTATTATTATTTGCAATATTATAACAGCAAAGTATAGTGTCTAGTGAATAAGGTACTATAATTATTATGATATACTGTTCTTTTATTAGGTTCATATCCTGCTTTTTTGTTCAGAAACTGAAGGCAGTGTACATAGCACTTGCTTCTCCTATTTTTCTTCACATCAACAACCCTATGAGTTGGGTTGCACTGAAAGAGAATGACTGGCCCAAAGTCAGCTAGTGAGTTATGGTAACTAATGGTGGTCTAGGATCTTGATCTCCTCAGCATTAGTCCAACATCTTAACTCCTACACTGCTGAGGCTGCAGATCTTCTCAGCATTCATATTACCAGATGGATATAAGAAAAGTAGACTAGAAACATCTGAAAGACTATATTTCTTAGTGAAACTTATAAAATAGTGTAGCATTATATCTGTGGCTTCTTAAAGGTATTTGTTTATGATGAAACCTATTTACCAACAGAAGACACAGAAGCTAAGGACATTTCTTTGGATCTTTCACCTGATGCCTGGCGAACAAATAGAAGTCCTCCTCAGTTTCTGGATTCTAAGCCTCTTCTTGACTTCAGGGAATCACAGAAATTCAGCAGGCACTTATTTCGAATGAAGAGATCCATTTTCTTCCCTACTGGATTTAAAGTATGCCCAGAAGAGTCTGTTGAACACGCTATTGCCAATCATCTTAAATATTTTAAACTTAGAGGTAAGTGAGCAGTCCAAGGCAACTGCTGTTACAAAGCAATTCTTTGAGAGATAGGGCTTCAACATCTAGATTTCTGTGAATGACTTGTTAGAAACCCTCAGAAAACCCTGTTGGCCTGATGTTGGGATAATGCCATTTTGTTGTTTTGTCTTCCTGTTATTCCTTAGGAAGTTGTAGCAATGCAGGATATAGGCTGAGAAAGACAATTGCAACAGAAGAAGCAACAGTTATAGCAAATAATAGGCCAATCAAGGACAGCTGTCTATTTGAGATTTTTGTTTTGCTTCACTTGTTTATTGCATTAAATCCTGAATTTCCTGCAGTAGCTCAAGACAATATGCATAGTACTCCTACAGCCCCATCTGATATGTTAATTAAAAGATGGTGATTGGCTTAAAGCTTCAAAGCTGTATGGATACCTGAACCTAGGTTTTCCCATCTTAATCCAGTATTTTAACTATTATACTACTTGACTTTTCAACCAAATATCAGCAAGGCAAAGTCTTCTCTTACTGCATTAGGATTAGTATTTAGGTTATCTGTTTTATCTCAAAGAGTGGCCACTGCCATGTGGGAGATAGAAGAAGGCAAAATAAATTTTGTTGGGAAAAGGTATGTGGCCTATCAGTGCAGGCAGACCTGCAAAAAGTTGTGAAGTATGAAGAAATATGACAGCTCAGCCAAAGAAAACATATGCACACACCACTTACTTGACTAAGTGGTCATTACAAATGGAATAGCATAAGGCTGTGTAGTGCTTCAAATTCAATTCCACAAAGACAGAAATTTTCGGGAGATCTTGAGGCTATCCACCGCCAACCAGTATCAGGAAAAGACAAGCTTGCAGTAAGGAAATGCAGAGAGATAGCATCAAAGCACCTTTTTTGGAATCAAATCTGAGGCATTACACTTGCCTACAATGGGAAGTGCAGTATCTCTAGACGTCTAGGGCACAGTTTTTAAAAGAATGCCTGTGATCCTGAGGTAAAGGAGAAAATTCTTCATTCCTCCTCCTCTATTTTTGTACGTCTCCATTATAGGTTTTGCCTCTATAATTTAAATAATTTGACTGTATTTTCCTTGCAGTCTCAGGATCCAAACAGATTGGTTAGATTCTTAAGAACTTGTATGGCCTTTCTCACAAAATGTTCTTAAGTCTATGTATAGTTAGAGTTCACTACCTCCCTCTCAGTTTCTTGACACTTCTGATCACTGAGTTATATCTGTCATGCTACCTTTAAGAACTTCAAGCTTAATAAAAGGGATTTGTGAATGCTATATTTATGACATTACAAAGCTGTCTTAAAATAAACCAGGAGTCAGAACAAGACCCACTCCTGCAAAGAATTGAAGCAGTAGATATACCGCTGTAGATATTGATTGGAGTTAGGTAATATTTTTAACACCATATCAGACAATCTGTAAGCCCCTTTGATCTTACAAGAATTAGCAGCACAGAACCCTAAACAAACAAACATAAATCTCCTACATCCTGTTGGTAAATAATACATCCTGCCACCCAATGTCCTCTTCTTTCTCCAGTTTATGTTTCATCTCTTCTGTTTCATTTGGGCCATCTGCCATGTCTCCAGTATGTATTCTTACATGCCCTTGTCTCTTTCTTTCTTATGTTGCTATCTCTTAATTTCTTCCTTTAACTCCAAGTAGCAATTTAATTAATAATAATTAATAATTAAACCAAAGCAATTTAATTAATAATAATTAAATAATAATTAAACCAAGATTAATATTTTACTTCATTTTTCTCCTGTCCCTGTTTGTTATCCATCTGATGTGGCCCTGCAGTTTGCTAGCTAGTCTATTCTGCCCGGGAAGGCCTACAGAAGATGGTTGTTTGATCTCCTGATAAGGGCTGTCAGACTCAATGGCTTCTGTGAGGAAGGACAAGGATTCTCCCGCCCAGATGGTCAAAATAGGTGTGAGCTGGGATGACATTTCTCTTTTTCTCCTCCTAGGCTGCCTTGCAGGAGAATGAATGGATAACTAGAATAAGGTTGACTTACATTGATTAAAAGTGCTCCTTTAGGTATACAATTAGTAATAATATTGCTAATGGTATAAAGTCCTTGGTGATAGAGGCTTCTTTGAGGCATTAACTCATTAATTTTCTCATGTCTAAGTTGAGTAACAACTGCTGGACGTTTGGGGGTTCAGTTTTAAACGGATAGTTTGCCTGAGTCAATATACTATACATGATTCAATGTTTAAGAAGCACAAATGGGATTACAATTGGATTAAATTGGAGCACTGCTCATTTACCCAAATGACTGAACAAGCTCTTCCAACCTCCAAGTACATAAGCACTAGTCATGCACTGATCCCAGCAAATCCCTTTCTGTAGAATGACATATAATAGACTAAAGCATCTTACTGTTTGTAAAGATAAAAAGCCATTGGACAATAATAGCAATGCTAACTGGCACTTCCTGGAAGGTCTAAAGCCTCTTCTGGGGAAGACCCATTGTATAGAGAGCCTTATGAGAGTTCTACAGTATGTTAGACTAAGTGTATAATTAAAAGTTTAAATGAAACATACCATTCCCAAAGAAAACTGTTCTCAAACCAGATCCCCCTAATGCACAGATTAATGATATAAGGTACAAAATGATGCACTCATGGGACTGAAGCCATACTTCAATTTGTCAATATTATTGACAAATGTCAGCGATACAAGCCAATAAATCACCTTCCCCAGTTTGATCACCTAAGCTGTAAAAGCTGGGAATTATGAAAGTTGTGAAACATAAACCTGGAAGATAATTGATTGCAGAAGGTTGTAATGGGTGAGCCCATTGTGGAGCACTGTGAGTTTCTCAGTTGCTATTTTTATGTTATTTATGTTTATAATTATTGATTGTGTTTTTATTCTGTTTTTATCCTGTTTTAGCTGTCAGCTGCCCAGAGTCATCTATATGAGATGGGTAACCCTATAAATCTAATAAATAAATAATAAATATTCAAATTACCCAATATTCTGAAGAGTAAGACAACAAGCTATTAGCATTTGAAAAATTCATAGTGATACACACTGGATTGCTTAGGAATTCTGATTTCAAGGATAGACCAGCTTCCTCCACATGGTATGTCCCAGGTTGGTCTTCATATCATTGATTGGATATTATGAGAGTTGCATCCAGAGAAACTGAAGGGCACTAAATTAGAAAAGACTAGAATACGGGAAGCATCCTTGTGTTGTATCATTTCCTCTGAACTAATCCTCTAACAGAACTAAGTTATACAAATCTTGGAATGCTTCCTTAGATGAGTTCTTTATCCTCATACTAACTTAAAATCACTGGTTTATTATTATTTTAACAAGTCAGAATCTTGGTTTGTTAGGAGTTGTAAGATAAACCAGGTTTTCCTAACCTGATATTGTTCTACAGACAGTGCTGGCATGGTGTCTGATTGGAAATGAAATATTGACTGGGAATTCTAGGAGTTGTTGTTCAATACATCAGATTGATTTGGGGTGGCTGCAGTAAATAAATTATAGATAGAGGAGCAAACAAAAATAACTGGTAGGGGATTGATTTTGCACAACCTGATAAATAAGAATTCAAATTATTATTATGACATGTAGTTAGGAAGAGTCAGGAGGTATCAAAATCTAATTAATAAAATAAATAAATATAGACTAATTATTATGATATGTAGACTTGGGCCACTGTTTTGAAAAATGAATTATTTATAATTTAAATTTCTAGGGCAGCCACTATGGACAACTTACAAGGATTTAATTGTTACAAGGTTTAATTGTTATAACTACAAGACTCTATCATTTTATTTTATCTGTTTATATAGATTTCTTGTTTTGAAAGCAACCAACTTGTTTAAAAACATATTTACATAGATTTGTTTCCTAGAGAATTATACAAAAGATAAATAATTTCTAATGAAATTTCCCATATCGAGCAGCAGGGGACACTATTAATATAATAGTCAGTATTCATGATGTTCTGGAAATTTAAAAATAAGTTTACTTCAGAAGCTTATTCTGGAAACTAACAATTTAAAATGAGCCATGATAGAAATTAAAGAAGAAAAATAAAAATTACTATAAAATAAGAGGATGATTTAGGACTTCCGGTGCCCTTAACTTTGACATTATTTCTTTCTTCTATTTCCAGTGGCTGGGTTTACAGAAGCTACCAGATTAAAATTCTTTTAGGTAATTTGTGGTCTTGATGTTGTGGGAACCAAAACATTGTCTTAGCATGTTATGTGGTCTAGGCCATCGCATTAAACCAAAACATGTTATAGTTTACTTATTTGAGCATAGCATGTTATGTGAACCAGGTTTAGGGTTCAGCAAGTTGTGCCGACCCAGCCATTATGGGTATATCTAAATGAAATATCACAGTAAATGGGCTTCATTGTCCCCATATAATTTAAACAAATCATATTACATACTAGGATCTGTATTAAATAAGATTTGATTTTACAAACTTTTCTTGAGGAAAAATTCCACACAATCAAGTTTTTTTCTTTACGTTTTCCAAAATTTACTGTCATACCACCTCTTTATTTCAGGATAAGAAAATAGCCAGTGTTCACAGTAAACAGAGTCAGGAAACATTTCAGCTCAGGTGAAAGGAGAACATTATTTGTGACTGACATTATTGCTAATTCTAGTGAGATCTGATACAAAATTGATCAAGCTCCTATATAGTTAGGTCCAAAATCAGTTGGATTCTTTTCCTAAAGCAAAACAAAAAGGAGTTATTTGGACAAAATGGAGAAGAAGCAAAAAAATTAGGCCAGCTGTTTCAGCTATAAGGTTTGTAGTTCAACTTCAACATCAGAATGGAGATTTTAAGTTACATGCTTATGTTCTCATTAGATGTATCATCTGGGACAAAGACTGTTCTTCCCCACTCTGAAAATATGAAAGCAACAAAAAGACCCACAGTGTTATCTCCCATGGGTGAAATAATAAATGTTCCAGCAAAACCCTAAAACGATTCTGACTTTTTCATTAGGTAATAATTAAATTAAACTGAATTACATGGTATGCACAACGTAAAAGCACAATTTTAATTACTGAATTAATATTTAAAAACTGTATAGGATGCCTTAGGAAAAAAACAATTTTCCTTCTCACCCCAAACATTGCAACATGATGTTACACAAGCTATGTTTGCCAAAAGTCTCTTGGCTTCCACTGAAGTAATTCTCCAAACATTTTGTAGCCTGAAGTAGAACTCATATTCCACCATTCTCCAACTACCAGGAGAACATATGGAAATGTCTTGGTATAGCCTTCATAACCAATTTGTGCTTCATAATCATGTATCTTACTACAATTCAAATGCTGCCTAAAATATATCATTTCATAATGTTGCTTGGCACAGGTGGCATTTGGGTGCTTTGCACCTTTTCTTCTGTTCACTCCTAAGGCACTAAACTTTAAAGGGTGACAAAAAGGCCTGAAAATTCATCTGACAGAGCTTCATGGGCTTACCCTCTGCTCTCAGCACCTACTGGTGCTGGTTAATGGTTGGGCACATACATTATTCCACCCTAAGCCATTGCTTAATACAACCAGGTTGAGTCAGAATCAACTGAATCTAGAAATCAGGATGATTTAGACATATTTAAAAATATAATTCTAAAATAGTCCAAATATGGATCTGGACACTGACAAAATGTTGTTAGCAATTCATATTTTTGAGGAGCATAGGGCCAGGGAACAATCTATTTTTCCCTACGGTTCTACAAAAAAAAAAAAATTAAAAATGAGGTGGTGGCGAAAGGGTAAATTGATTGCTCTAGCAACTAAGTACAATAAACAGTGATAGTGATTTGTGTGATGAAAGCTGAAGAAATGTACCACAGGACCCTGCAAATCATAGACCTGTTTGCTACTCTCCCAGGAATAGGGAAAGAAAAAAATATTGGTGGAGTCTGTGATCTTTTGGGGTCATAACATTGGATGTTTCCTTCAAACGTCATAAGTCCTTGACTCCTTCTGCCTCTGTTATTCTTGTTCCATATTCATTATCCATTGCTGTTCTGTTCCACATTTTTGTAAGTTTGAGACTGATGAAACAGAAAACAAACAAAAGCCTATAAAATACTTTTAATTTAACATAATTTTATTACCCCTGACCAGTACTTCTGAAATTTTGTAGACTTCCTGCCAGATGACCTATCTCTCTGATGCAAAACATTTTCATAGAAAGCAACCATGAGCACTGTATCCTGGAATGTGTGTGTTCACTTCTGGAAATCTGTCTCATATTAGAATTCTGTAATAGCCTAAAGTTATTTGCAAATAACAGAAATATGTTTGCAGTAGTGGATGCTTTTAAGGTATAAAATAAAGCATGGATTTATCTTACTGTTCACTCTATTTAGATACATTTGTTACATGAGCTCAAGCAATTTGTTATGAAAAAAGATTGCCTACTTGGAGTAGACTGTAATGTAGTTTTCTATGTTTTAAACTTATTTAATATATTTATTTTAAAGGTATTCTATCTTTTGGAAAGGGAGAAAAACCTGGTGTCTGTAATTATACAAAAAAAAATGAGTTTTTTTTTTAAAGTGGATTGTTTAAAAGGTCTATACCATGAAGCCTTGGATGATTTTTAAAATTAATTTCTGAGAAAATCTGACAAAAACCACAAACAGTGAGCCATGTTCGCTGGCTGACTGAAGAAAATAATGTTCTCATAGGATCTATCTCTGCACCCAACTTTAGTTGAAGAAAGCCTCAAGCCTGGCATCATTTCTGTGTGACTCCTCTGAACAAGATTGTTGCCCATATGCACAAATGTTGAAATTTTATTTTCTTCAGCTTAAATGTAAAGCTCTTTCTCTCAAGAAATCATGAAATACATTCTTCATTTTTGCTGATGTTGGTTCACAATGATAGGACATTTCTATTGGCCGTGTAATCCTACATTGTGACACATGCATGAAGAAACTACAGAACAATGAACTATAAATATACACGATAAACTTAGTGCAATTTAAGTCACATTTAGATTAACAATTGTCAAATAGAATAATTGAAAATAATTGGTGATTTTTTTTCTTTCCACATTTCTATTTTCTTCCTACTCTTTTCATCTTTTCTTTAGAAAATTATAGCTGCTTCAGGGGCCATTCTTCTGTCACTGTTTCTTTCCTTAACTTTTAATCCTGATGGCTTTTCATGTAATATTAACATACCAATTTGTCTCTGCAGTCTTCCTGATTATACTCTCAGACACTATACTCACAAAGAGTTGTGCCTTTTTTCATCCTTATGTAGGGCTATTTTCTTTGCTGCCACATGGTGATCATCCAGAATTTTGCAGACCAGACAGCCCCTTACCATGTGAACAGCAGTAGCTGTTTCATGGCCTCTAGTGGATGTCCAGAAATTTTGTACCTTTTAACATTCAGTTGAATGTACTCTCTCTCTTTAAATTCTAATCCAGCAGGGTTGTTCTTGCGCGGTAGCAACAACAGTATTTAGTAACGAGTATATGTTTCTCTCTCTCTCTCTCTCTCTCTCTCTCTGTCCCAATCCAGCAGGATAGTTGTCATGTAGTGGTAATAGTAGTAGTTTTATAGTAATGGACTTTTTTTTTTCTTTTTTAAGTCTGCCAGGAAGCAATATGGGAAGCCTTCAAAACTTTCTGGGATAGACTCCCAGGACATGAAGAATACCAAAAGTGGCTAAATGAATGTGAGGCAGGAACTATGAATATATTTGAAATGGGCACCAACTTCAGTCAGTCTGAAGAGTATCAAAGCCTCATAGCAAAGGTAAGAGACATGGGGCTTAAGAGAATATCAGCTGGACGTAGCTTCAGTGGTAGTGAACATAAGAATATTGCTATATGGTGGAAGACTTTTTGGTGTTTGCTTATTTTGTTTTTTGCATCCTTATTCATATCTGCTTGGAATAAATACTATTGAGTTCAATGAGATTTTACTTCAAGTGAAGTAGGAACAAGCTGACAGTTCTAATTTCTAGTTTTAAGTTTATATTGAGCTCTAATAGCCATGTTTGTTTTATAAATACCAAATTCATCATTTCCAAACTGATATATTTACAGTGCCCAAATATCAGTTCAAGAACAAAGGACTGAACTTTTTTGAAACTGCTGTTTCAATTATTCTGTTATTTCATTCTATTTTTTATTCATTAGTCTATTAAACCAATTACCTGCATCTTCTACCTTAACATACCGGACACGATAAAAGTAATTTCAGAGTTTTCAGGCCTTGGAGAATTAGCACCTGCCATCTAATGTGAAATATTTCTTAAAATTTATTGTTTTTATTTTTAAATTTTTTAGTATTTATTTAATTTGCCTAAAATTACACTGGATGTCGCTTTGCAAATACCAAGTAACAAGTGATGAAAAATAAATCATGAAAGAAAGAAAGTTGTAGATATATTTCAGCTTTGATCACAAGAATGCAGCTAAATCATCATCAATCTTTATTACAGTTATTAATCAGCACAAAGCAGATCATGAGGCAAACATAACTATAAATACCTAAGGAGTCCTTGGTGCTCTCTGAGCTTGTTTGTTTGTTTGCAGATGTTTCATTACCCAACTAGGTAATATAGTGTGAGTGAGTGTGCAGTTTGCTCTCTGTTTAAATACAATAGCCCTACCATATATAAATAGGGGCAAACCCCACACTTACCTGCACTGATGTTACCTAGTTGGATAATGAAACATCTGCAAACAACCAAGCTCAGAGATCACCAAGGACTCCACAGCTCAGCCATGAGCTACATATATTCTCTTCTGTTGGTATAAATACATAGGCTAGACAGGTAGGATTAAAATAAATAAAAAGGGTACATACAAAGAATGTTAGGAATAGAAAAAGGTAAGACTAATGAATCAGAAGTGGGATGTGGTGGCACAGTGGCTTAATGACGCTGAAAGTTGCCAGCCAGAAATGGGCGACACTTCAGCGGTTCGAGCCCAGCTCCGCGCGGCAGAGTAAGCTCCTGTCTCCTCCCCAGCTTCTGCCAACCCAGCAGCTCAAAAACTTCCATGAGTAGATAAATGGGTACTCTCACCCCGGTGGGAGGAAAAATGCTGGCGGTGCCTTGCACGGGAGACGGGACCAGTTGCCGGAAACGCGGAAGCTGCGTACTCCCAAAAAAGGCACGAAGCAACAGAAACCCTGCCCCCTGCGGTCGCCAGCTGGGCTCTGCTCTAGGAAGGAGGCAATGGCGAACCACTTCCGGGAGGCAATGGCAAACCACTTCCGAAACACCTTGCCTTGAAAACTGCAGGGACTCATCCAGGCAGTTGCCGCAGAAGCGGTCACGATTGAGTGCAGATAAAAAAAAAAAGAATCAGAATAATATAGAATAAAGTTATAATGAAACTAAAAAATTAAGGTAAGTGCCACTAAATAAAGCAGTAAAATCAACTAAAAAGAATGTCAGGATTGTAGTTTATGAATAACATTCTGGCAAACCCAGCAAGATTATAATATAATGACTAGCAAGGTAAGTATGAAA